GATGCTTTTGTTATCACTAGACGGCACTGATATGACCCTGACTAGGTCGACGCCACAGGACAGTCCTGTTGAGAAAGGCCTATGAAAGCGAGGGCAGAGCGAATTGCAATGGCTTCTTGAGGCATCTTCTCATTTTATGACGGCAAATTCACATCATCCAAATGGGCCGAAGATGACTCGTGTTCACACTCGAGTACATTAGTGGCATGCAGATCTGCCAGATTGCGTGAACCTGCACGACACATTTCATGCTTGTATGTGTCTCCCGACCCAACCTACACAACCACATCGAGGGCATTCGGAGTGGAAGGCATCTTCGAAGCATAAAGCCATCCACTATCCATTTTTTAAGATCTCTTCCTCTGTGGTGCTTTGGTCGTTCCGTCACAGTCGGTCACTCCTCCGAGTCTGTCTTTCGGATGAAAAAGAGAGACTAGTCGACGGTGTGCCCAACAGAAGTGGAGATTGGTGAGTCGACGCTTGACTCGACGCATCTGCTCAACACTCAGAGAGTAGGCCGGATGATCTACGTCCCGTGTCAAAGAAACCATCAAATACCATCCTTCCGCTGAAGGCTGCAAACATGTGACCATGTGAATCGACTTTATGATGCTACCGGAAAAGTTGGATTATGCGAACAAGTCCTATGCTGATCGTCTTGATACCGCACACAATTACAATGAACCATGACAATAGGGTGCAAGCCACAAGCCTACTTGTTCCCTTTTGATACTTAATTTCGACATCGAAATGAGGCATCCCATGCTTCGGTTGCCAACTGTGTGATTAACCTACCGGCTTGCAGACGGATGACATTGATTCATGCCGAAGGGGGGATGCAGTGGTGGCTGTTTCTTTACCCAAATAAACCGCTAATGTTCACGCATATTTAGCTATGTGGTAGCGTCTATTGGTTGCATGAACTGCCAGCTTAGCACCAGTTGACAGGGTCACAGGATGGTGAGACGAGGACTTTTTCGTACAATCCGAAAGTCTTCCCTCCAA